AGGGGATCGTATTTGATTGTCATATACTTGCTAACACTTCCATTGACCTGGCCAAGAGCACTCTACCACCATGCTTGTATAGGTCAGCAAGTTGTCCGTCTGGTCCTGCTGCCCATCCTCGTTAAAGGATATCTACCGCTTTCTCAACTTTTTCTAGTGTTGGGGGACCTATCTCAATGTTCCATTTAGGATCCGACTGGATAGCGGCGACACAATGGTGTCTGGAGGCCAGTTAACCTGTTCCTCGAAGTGCTCTACCCATCGTTCCATTCGTCTCCTTTGCGATTGAATCGCAGATCCGTCATTCTTGGCTATGTGCAAAACAAGATGTAATATGGAAAGATAGAAACAGTTCAAATCAACCAATCTAAATGGGATTTAATTTTTACTGTTCTGTTTTGAAAACAACCTTTTTAAATTTGTTTTCATCTATTTTTCTCCGCTTATTGTTTCAGGATATAATAGTAGAAATAAGATAATGAATAGAAATATTTTGAAACTGCCTGATGTTTCTGTACAAATGTATTGGTCATTATTCCATTTGAATACCTCCAATGATTGACTCAACCGGTCCCATAAGTGGATAACCACATGAAGTAATTTTGATGAATGAATAATAGTCTCGGAGAGACAATTAAATTCCCACAAAGATTCTTTTGTAATTTAGTCAAAAGAGCTATTGGATTATAAACATCTAGGCTATAGTTTCTTCTTCGAATGTCTTGAAAAGAGTCCGAATACTTTGCTGAAGAAGTTGTGGCATACATAACGAAAAGTCCAGGAAAATCTTGTGTTTGATTTTTAAGCACGCTGGGATTATATTAAAATTTACTTATATAAAAGAGGCATTATTTCGTAAATTTATCACAACATTGTAACGGGAAACGAATTTTAGGAATGTACAGGATGGATGTAACCTGCATGATGATGAGTTTTGAAATAGAACAAAGGCCACCGCATACTAATGATTCAGGGGTCATCTTTTCTACACTGATGACCAGCTGTTAAAAGGGTCTAGTTTTCAACTCAGTAATAAAAAGTTGGAATTTCGATGCCACCAAGCAATTTCGAATGTCATTCACTCCTCATTTATGTTAGCACCAGTTTGTTGAACTTTGGTCAACTAAAGCATTTAACCAGTAAATCCTTTTTGTAAATGTGACTGCAACTATGGCTTCCTGTCATTTGACTTCAGACATTTTACACTAACCACGATGAACCACAGTTTTGCATATCTTGCCCAAGTGATGACATACGAAACTTGACTGGCAAATTGGTTTCACTGCTAAGAACTAAGCAGTTACTTTGATGTTTGTCATCAAATGTCTGACATGACCACCAACAGGATTTTGTTCGCCGTTCAAGTCTGTAGAACATAAAACCAACTGACCTCAAGTCTTCCATTAGCGTGCATCTATTTCATGTCAGGAAATGTCCTGTGCGGTGTACATTTTAATTTAACTAGTGTATGTAATCCAGCCCTGAAATAGTCAATCGCTCAGTCGTAGCACAATAGGTCGCTCTGGTTTAAATCTCATATAAAACACCAGTTATCTGGAATTCATAGATTTGCCTTTCTAACGATTGGTTATTAGCAAGAAACTTAGATCTAGAGCCTTCTGCCGATTTGCTACAACCAGCTGACACTAATCAAAGTACGGTGTGACTGTAAATCTCTCAGCTTGGTGACCGAAATGCGAAATTTTCGATAGCATCCGGTGAGCAATTAGGACAAGGAAACATGAGATCTGTTGCTCTCCAGGAGCTAATTAATGCAGCTGAATAATCTTATGACTGTGTGGGGAATATTTTATCAAACTACAAATCTATCTTGCTTGATTCAGAAAGAACTTCAGTGCACTTATAGTCACAGTAAACAATTAGAGTTCAAAGCTCTATGAAGTTAACACAACGCTGTTTAAAAATTGGCTTATATGAGAAGAATTTCATAAGAGAATCTTATAATTCAATAACCAAACTAATGCATTCACCAACTAAAGGGGACCTTTTTTTCTTTATTACAGATTGAATTTATTCATTCCACTACTTAGTTTCCGCTGGATTTAAGTTGATAATTTTCAGCAAACCAACTGAACCATTGAGCAAAGCGTGTTTTAGACTCATTTTCTTGGCTTATCTAACAAATTAAACTCCATTTCATAATAATAATAAGAAAATAAAAGCAAGTTGAGAGTGAACGTGCATAATTCAAGTGTTAATTAGTAATCAAAGTTAATCCCTATTTTAAATAAAATACTTGCTTTTTTGCTAAACTATTGGGTTGAATTTCTATGGGAAAGATTAAAACCTTGATTATCTTTTTATGATAATTGAAAACAAGTGACTGAAAGAAGAGACTCTTTTCGGAGATTTTTTGCTCAGCTGCTATATAGGTATTTCGACTTTCAGTAACTGTTATAGTAAAAGTCTACCGAATTATTCTGCACTTCCAAGCTGAATATACTTGGAATATTTTATTCTTGTTCAATAATTCTATGAAAATTGATAAAAGGATTGCTAACATAGTTAAATAAAATTAGCCTTAAAGCTTCTTAAGTTTTTAAACCATAAGCCTTTTGAACTAGGTGAAGTTAACTTTTTTCTAAACATGAATTCCATAGATTAAGTCGTTCAACTTTTATCAGCAAGATAATTGATTTCATTTAAAAAACAACTTCTTCGAATTAAAAATATATGGAGTAAGATTTCATAGACTCAGTGTCAAGTCTATCTTAAATAAAAGTAATACAACACGAACTTCACTTTAAAGATTATAGTAGCTGATGATTTGACTATGTGAGGTAGTCGTAGTTTGATTGACTTGCATTGAAACTGGGTGATGATTGAGTGTGAACCAGAAATTTGGACTCCCACTGGATTCGAACCAGTGACCGTTGGTTTTCTGGTCCGATTGCTACTAACTGAGCTATGAAGCGAGACTGGTGACCACATTTTAATTTCACTTCAATCATGATAGGTTTTGCTCAACTACCATGTGAACTCATGATGCCTTACTACTGCTTGACCGTATTCACACTGGCTGCCTAGTCAGAACTTCTCATCCCAATCCAAATCTAACTGAATTAGAGACAGGGAGTTTCATATTGGTAGGGCATCAGGCCGGAAACCCAGTGGTCACTGGTTCGAATCCGACGGTGATCCAGTATAAATTATCGTAGCTTGTAAAATCTGCTAACCCAGTCTCATCGATTAACACTTAAAAACATTTAATATACCAGTGAAACGCGTTATGATTTTGAGTGCACAGTACTTTTAATTCAGTGCTGTTTTGGATGATATTACTACTCCTCTCTTGATAGATAGCTAACCATACTTTCTAGCAAGCGGTTAAAATTTGATATTCAAACAGCAGACTGCTTACCTTTTTGTTGGCGATTCACGCTGATTCCATTCAGTTACTTATCTTGTCATGTAACTTATGAATGAAACGTAAACGTATTACCCAAATAGTTTCTTAACGTTTCAGTTTTAGTTTTTCCATTTATTTTCACTGTATAAGCATGTAGCAATTTCAGCAATTATGTATACTTTAAACTGTAAACTCAAAGAAGTTTATTTAAATTAAAAATCGAAATGGCATACAGCTGCATGTGCACAAAGGCTTTTATGACTCTGTCCATCGAAGTACTGATTGAACTCATTGCCAGATAATGACAGGATCTTACTTCAGAACGCTGCCAAAGTATTTTTAACTATGTTGTATACAGTGACTTGCCATCTAAAAAATAAGGGTTATGCAGAAATCCGATAATCCCCCTTAAAGTTATTGGATCAAGAGTCTATTAGTTTAAAATAGTTATTAGTCTAATAAAATGGGACCTAGTTACCCAACTTATCAGGATGACATTTTTCCTATGTCTTTATTCTGTCAATTCCATCATTGTAATTGAGCTAAATTTAAAGTATTTCTAACATTTTCACGGTTTAACTAAAAAGTGTTGTATTCCAAATATAAGTAGATCTTTTAAATAGAAAATGATAAAACAATTTATTCTGCGCTGTCTAATGCATGTTCTTTACATACAGAAGGTATCAAAAAGAATTAAGATTCTCAGAATAGGGAAGTGTGACAGATTACAAAGAAATTATGACTTAAAAAGTACTCTTTGGGTTAATTAAGAAGTGTACAGGAACTTATCAGAGAAAGAGAAATAGAAATGTTAGCATTGATTTAAACATGGCTAATTAAGGATTCAAATCTTTTGTATTATCTCCATATAAAGAAGAGAAATAAGAAATTCTACTTAGGATCCTAGTCAGTTCTAGAACAAGGATAATATTTGAACCCATGTAACAACTACCAGAAAATGTCTGTGGGCTAAAATATTCTGTACACCGAGCTGAACGACATCCAAATCTATTAAATGCCATGAAACGCTAGTGAAGTCAAGTAACTCAACGAAATGTCAGATTATAGATTCTACTTAAATAGTTATCTGGATAAATGCTTAGCTAACGCCATATGAATATGCGCACGTTCAAAGGTTGGAAAAAGTGACAGTTCTGGGCAGAGAGAGAATAATTACTTAACTTCCCGTCATTAAATCATCATCTAACATGCACGGTGATATTGACCCATTATGTATTCCAGGTACATGGAAACTTTAATTACCACTAGGATTAAAACATATAACAGTTATACTTTATAAATGAGTTTGTATGTTATACGGTTACTTGGATATGACTATGCGTGATAAGTTGTGCTTGAAACATCACTAAGTAAACAATAAATTGTCAAGATTCACCATCTCAAATAAATAAGTGTAATATGGAATATTATATGAATCATACTAACTTCAAAATAATGATACAAAACATTGCTATTCGTTATTGCTAAATATACCTAATTAAAATTCACAGACTCTCCGGTAAATTTTTTATTCCAGTGATTTCTAATCTCTTATAATAAAAATGTTTCCGTTTATGACATCCTATGCTAGCTGTATATGATCTTTTCTTCTTAATAATGGTGTCCACAGATAATGTCCTGGTAAATGTACAACTCAATTTGCGTGTGCCATTATTCTTCTCGGCCTGGATTGCCCGTTCTCATACACCCGGATTAATGGATTCATTTATACCAATGGTAAGCCAAAAATTTATGCATTTGAATCTGAATGTTGCTTTCTCATGAACAGCAATTGCTGGGAAGATGTTCTCTCTAAATCTAACAAGTGAATGTAAGCCTATTTTCATCAATTATAAAATCAGTTGACTGGAGGTATTTCTTAACATACTGAATAACAAACTAATTGTAGTGACCGTCAACTTGACTACGCTGATTTGTATTCAAGAGTTACAAAACAACAGCAAACTGAGATAAAAGTCAAAGGTATGCAAGAGCTTCCGCACCTGAAATAACTCTGAAACTGTTAGGAGGTACTTGAGAAAGTTTGCTGAAAATGCGAACTGATTATAACATTACTAAGTATACCAATGTTTTCGGTACACTGGTAATGAGTAAAACGAGAATAGTAGATTTCATTGTCGTTTATACCGCATTCCATCAAAAGATTCTCTTATTCAAACTCAGAACATATTAAGATATTATTTTGGTCATTCCGCGCCACGATTACTGAATAAAGATTCGACACTTTTGGTTATGGTTCCAGTATTGTTATCAAATTAAAACAAAGAGAAGATTGAATCAGATTTTCTTTTCACTTCTAGGCGGTAGGAATGATTCTGCAGTCTGCATATGAGTAAAAACAAAAAAATCTTTATATAGTGCATTTATTCATATTTTCAACAGTTGGCAAATCCTCATCATTCTACTTATAGACAAGTGAGAGTTTTGGCATTTAAAAGACAGTTCATGAAACTGAAACTGTTATCTACTCTTAGCAGAAAGATGACTTTAAAATAAATGTTTCACTATATTCAGCCTGAAATTCTCTGATAAGGTTACAAATAAGCGGAGGATTTGTTTTGTAAAATAAAAATCCTGATTTGTAGATATGAAGTGATGAAGCGAACGTATAACACTTATTTTATCACTGTGTTTTTCTTGCTTATAATTCACCAATCTGAACTTTGCTGGAACTGATAATCGTTTAGAGATCACGAACCTTTGTATCACCGGAGACAGGATATCTGAACGACAAGATAACAGTTAGAAGTTTGGTATTTTAGACCTCAGTTGAATAGTAGGGAAAAAAATCTTTTAACAAAATAAACAGCCACTTAACGACTAACGGTTTTTAATGTTCACTTATATGGTTTCTATCTTCAGTGACAAAGACTGGGCAATTATCCTCAGTTAATAATATGAATTATTTATGACTTCTGATGTGAACTTATTTGCTAGGAGGGAAAAATGTTCATTGATGACATTGGGTGACCCTCGAATCGTATTGAAAAATAATTAAAACTTTGAAACAGCAACCATTCAGATATTACTTGGCGTATCAAAGAAAATGTTATCACCGTAGTATTGAAATTTTATACTGCTGGATTTTTGCAGAATTTAGCTAACATAGCATTGGTGTGCTCAATGAAAATACAAATATTTGATGAGTTATCATCCAGTTCTAGGCTTTCTTCAGATAAAACTCCTCGTAGTTAAAAATGTACACTGCTAGTGGTGAAAATGTTAGTCATTTACTAAGTCACTAGATTTGGGGGACATTATAATAGCCACTCCAAACTCAGTATGCTCATGGTTGTCGTTTGGATGACCGGAGTAGATTATTGACTCACCAGTTGACAGTTGGGAAAGTCCATTCCCATTCCATCTGCTTTCGCAGATTCCCAGCACTTCTATCCCATATCTTCTCACTTCTTTTGCCATCTGGGCAGCCTTGCCAGCCAACTTCTAACACTGTGTGGACATTATATGTCCCTATGCTTACTTTCGCTTTCATCGAGAGAAGACACATCAGCCAGCTGACTTCTCAAGGCTTTCACCAACCAGGGTTATTTCGTCTCCCCGATTCCAGCGACGTGAATTTTTGAGATTTCTTGTGTTCTTTGAAGTTTCTTTAGCGATTGGATCAATTTTCCGGGTAAGGGTTTCTAGCCCCTCTCCCACGCTGCCCTCTCTCTTTATCCAGGCTTAGGACCGGCTAGTACTGTAGTGAACTAGTAAACTAGGTAAGGTTGTTCCACAGACAAAAAAAGCTTACTATGTACTTTTCTATGAAATATGTTAGTGCAAGTCTTTGAAATAGAATGAAAGGGAATAATTTAGCATAGTCAAATTCTTATTGTTTCTCTTAGTTTAAATTTTGAAAAATTCTGACTGAAAACATGGCAGAACATAAATACATCAATGAAAAGTTTTTGCATTGTGAAATTGAATAATGTATTATAAATAAATTTCTTTAAAACACAACCCTAGGTTTAATTTACGCTTAGTACTGATGGAGTAAACAATTACTCTTATATGGAGGTGGTACAACTAGAACATAGTCTAAATTAACTGACAAAACCACTTATCTACAAGAAAACATTAGCGGTTATTGTGAAAGTAGAAAGCAAAAAGGTAAAACAGGAACCAAAATTATAAGAAATCAGAAGGTAACAGATGCATAAACATCAGACCATTTGTTAATAGTGTAAACTTATGAATTATACAAGCTGAGAAACCATTGACTACCATACAAGATTGGTACTCTTCAGCAAGGAAATGTAGACTCTAAGTTACAGGAAATGTGACTGAAATAAACTCTAGAGGTTTTTGGATAGAGTGAGCTATGGAAACTGGTTAATAAGCTGTGGTCCTTTTTTTCTTGTTATTACACTACCTACCATATTGAAAGAAAACACAAGTATGTTCGTAAGGCCAGTTTTCAGGGATTAAAAGCTGAAATAGATCAAATATATGTGATAAAAGAATGTATGTATTCGAGTAGAAGATAATTAAAAGCTTGTTTCCTGACAAACTTCACTTGCTGTCAATAAAACCGTTAAGAAACTTGACTTATCTATGCCAGGTAGTTTCATCGGTTTCATCAAAATATTTAAGCACGAACTTCATATTTAAAACAAACCAGTTTTCAATATTCGCTTGACTTCATAATACATACTGAGTATTGTTAAGCCTTACTTCTAATGTAATTTTTGTCTCACTCAGCTGCGTTCAGTTCTTATTTGGTCCTGTTGAATTATCTATCTGTAAGTTCACAATGTTCTACTTGTGGTGTTGTTTTAGATGACAGTGTAACACGGACTTTGTGTATATCATCTGTAGGTTATGCTAAAGTTCGTTAGTTATTAAAGGTTTATTGATTATTATTATTAATAATTGCAAACTGAAGATTTCTTTTATTGACCTATGAATTATTCTACGTCTAAGCCTTATCTTTGGAGGTGTATAAAAGTATTCAGGTCAGTTTTTTTGTAACAGAAGTGAAATTGAATAACCGTATTCTTTGAAATGTCTCCACTTTACTTTTGACACTGGCAGAACAGTTCAAAGCTGTATAAAACAGAATTTTATTAAAACGCACTCATCTTGTAAAAAACAATTCGAAATCTTGTAAGTTCTACCTTGTTTAAAATCATCAATGAAACATCTCATGACGTGAAGTCCTACTTAAAAATGCGGTTAGTCCTCAACCAGCTTTTATTTTATCCACTCAGCTGATAATTGAATATAAAGAGAAAACTTGAGACAAACCTACATCTAATGGAAAAATCGTTCATATCTGAGTTTGAAACTTCTATATTTTCCAAAGCTTTTGTTTTGCAACGCATGGTGATAGTTGACATTTGTAATAATTTAGTTCCCATTTTTAAAAGTTCTTCAACAAACATTTCTGAAGTGCAACAGATCCAGTTTATTCTATTCTTGATTATGAATCTAGTTTAAATGTATTGAAATCATTATGAATTTAATTTTAATCTGAAATAGCTTATTGAAGACTTCAAATAAAAATTCGATTCCAGTGTTCTTTCTAACGCAACACCACTTTTCTGTAGGGATATAATTATTCTAACAGTTACTGTAAAAAACAACAACTCATAAACAACTTCTGTTGATTTACCGTCATAAGTGCAGGATTATTCGCACTAACTAGTCATCAGATACTGACAGTTGTCACTGTCAAATTCTGCAGGCTTCGATATGTTCAAGATTTTATCCATTATATTTTGATAAGTGACCTTTATTTTGGGTGAAAAGACGACACTACTGATTCTCAATTGAACTTTATCTTGTAACGCCTAAATGCAACATTTTCTGCTTCACTGGTATTGGAAATTTCGGCTTCATCTTCAACATAAGGAATTATTGTGCTTAATACTTGTTCATAGTAGTTGGACGAAACAAATGTGTGATCGTATACTGAGCTTTCGTTCTTGACCAACTTGGTCTAACTTCTGACGTACATAACTCATGCAATATTTACCAAGTTTAAAAAATAACGGTTCCAAGTTTATTGTCTTAATTCACTCTAGTGAAGGTATATTTCCGTTCATTGTAACATCAAATAAATTATATGAAAGAACACTGGTCCTTTTTAATATATATATAATGATGGCATCGGAAATTCAGCATATCTAGGCATCAAAAAAGGAATGAAACTATATGAAACATAAAAGTGAGAATTAGGTTCGTTGAGCCCGGGTTGGTTATTTGTAATCAGCACAAGTGACCTCAAGGACCAATAGTGAACATGTTGCTATTAAGTCCTTAAGTCACTACTTAACCTTCTCTATTTTCTACATCCGATGAGTTTTCAATATGAAATGGATATCATCTAATGTCGTTTCTGGATAGCCGTTTTAGCTTCGGACAGCGGTGTAGAGTACTGTTGAATCACATTTAAATCTCCATTACATGCGACAATAATGTTATCTGGTTGAGACTGTGAAGCATGAAGTGGAATCTTCTACAATATTTATAGTTTAAGAGACCTATGTGTAATTAATGTTTGTTAGTTAAAAACAACTGGTCTTTCTCACAGATGTAGTACAAACAAGTCATCCAAATATTTATTATTGATGCATAGTGGTTAGTAGTGGAATCTAGGATGCACATTTTGTCCTACTAGGGACTCTTCAATTGGAAGTACCTGCCTCCCAATGTGTCTTTCCCACCAGGATTCGAACTGCGGACCGAGCTCTTCAAACGCCAAAGAGTTA